TAAACATTTTGCATAACTTACAGATTTATTAGATTATGTAACTGGTAGTTTTAGCCAGTCATATTTTATTCCCTGTATTTCATTAATTGTTCAGATTGAGCTTTAGCACAGGTCTGTTTTGAGTGTATCCTCAAATTCCTCGTTTTTTTTTTTCGTTTTTTTTTGTTGTCTTTTTTGCCATACTTGTTCAATTATTGAAAATTGTTTGATGTAAAAAAAAAAAAAAAAAACTCTCCATAAACATGTAGATGTGTGTATACATTTTGAATTGGGCATGTTTTTCACAATTTTTAAATCTGAAATATTTTTGTGAAATTCCATCTAGTTCACCCCAGAAAAAAAAAAAAAGAGCATGTGTTATGTATGTAACTCCTACTCCCAAATGGTTCACTAAGGTTTTAAACCACTTTTCTAACTTCCTGTATTGCCAAGCTATGTTGCAGTGTTTGTAGCTTGTAAATAAACAAAATAAGAGATTTCTTTTGTTTTCCCTGATTTTTTTTTCCCCGTCCTCTACAACAGAACTCAAGCTGAGAACTTTTCACATTTTTATGTATAGAAAACATTTGTGCTACTGCTTGTGTAAAGATACTTTTGAGTGAAATGGGAAGCAGTGATAAACTGTGATGTCTTTATGTCAAATTATAAAGATATAATTTGATATAAAACATCTATGGATTTGCTGCTGCCACACCGTTTTATTTGGGCATGGAGAGATTTGTGCTTTCTTAGCTCCTAGCCTTATGTCTGCCAGTCAATACTGAATGTCCCAGAAAATGCACATTCTTGCTGCACTACGCCTGTAAGTAAATGTCACACTTCTTGTTGGAAGGTTTGAATCTTTTTCTTTTTTCTTTTTTTTTTTTGTTTTAAGTCAGTTACTATGGAGATGAGCATCATTGGCGACCCTAGACAAAACTTATGCTAAAAAGGCCAAAAGGTTTCTATGACAACTGGAAGCTAAACAAGACAGGCAGGCGGGGAGGAAAATTGGAGATGGGTCTCGGAAAGCATTTCATAAAAGCATACACCCCCTCCCCCACACACACACAAAGAAAAAGTAAGGTAGGAGATTCAAGAAAATGTTGGGAAATACATGCTCATAGTCACTCTGCATCACCATCATCGTAAAGGCATTCCCCTCAGCATGCGTACACCCTCGCTCTCTCACTATCGCACAGCAACATGGTGACAGCCCGCATGGTGCTTGTTAGAAAATATTCACAGTAATCTTAATTGGGAGTGCTGTCTAGCTTAGAGGTCCAGCTTGTCATGTCAGAAAGCAGCGTGCTCACTGTGTACAACTAATCTTTTTTATTATATTTTATGTTCTGTATCCTTGCTAACCTGTCTCCTTTAACCGTCAGCGGCGGTTGGAGCATGAATTTCGCCCTTGTTGAGCCCCTTATTTAGCCGGCTGCAACTGAAAGCATCTCTAATAACTGAAATAACTATGTTCATTTTTAGTCACGCTTTGTATTGTGCATTAACTTGCTTCAAATTAGGTGATCCTAATAAATAGAGAGCACTGAAAATGTTTTTTTGTGTGTGTGTTTTCACAATTGGAATCTACCTTAAATACATCTTAAATAATGCTTTAATGCATTTTTGTGAAGTGTAAACTAAAAACTTTAAATTCACTCGATTTCATAAAAAAATTAAAAAAAATAAAACTTTTTTTTTAGTTCAGTACCGAGTAAGCTGCAAATCAGCTCAATTGACTGGACATAAAAATGAGAATTTTTTTTTTTCATTCTGAGCAGCTGTTTGTCTCCAAGCTATGACGCCCTGGGCAGAGAGCCACATGAGAAACCGTAATTGTAACCTGTTGATGTTTTTATGTGATTTGACTAGTGTTTACTTTGAAAATGTGTGAAGTCTTGTTTTAATAAGAAGCCAGACGCCGGTATTCCCTGCATCACATCTAAAAGCCTCCTATTAACTGTGCATGTGCACTAATTGGGAGTTGAAAGACCGAGAGTCATCATGCTAACTCCACTGGGCCACAGTGGCACTTTATAGGGGGAGGTCTAATTGTTGACTGTCACACACGCCGAATTAGATTCCTTCACACTGACATACTGGCTTAAAAATGAAACCGGTCAGAAAAGGAACAAAGTGGCTCGTGAAGAAATCAAGAGGTGGCTGGGAACAGAAGATAAGTTGAGAGAGGTGAAAAGCTGTCAGCCATTTGCACAAATTACCTGTAAGATGATAAAAAAGAAAAAAAGGTATTTGATTTCTTTACAGAAAGACACCATTCAGGTGCCTGTTGAACAAAGCTGAAACGTGTAGCTGCAATTGCAGTTAGCGTCATCCTTTATGAAAGGAAAATATTCATGAAAGGTTATCCTGGGTAGACAGCTTCACAAAGAACTCACAGCTCTTTCCTTTGCTTCCTTTTTAACATCCAACAAAAGCGCAGAGACATCGATCCAGGCCGCACCTGAAAAGCGCCGAGTGAAGGCATGAAAGATGACAGCTTACAGCAGGGAGCAGAAGTGGTTCGTCTCAGTTCAGTTCCTATGAAACGCAGGTAAATATTTCTTTTCAGCACAACGACATCGTCACCTCAGTCCACTAAATTATATGCGATAGAATAAAACTAAAATAGAATAAGGAGTATTTACTTTTTTCTGCTCCTCTTTGAACTGATTTTCATACTTTTTTTTACTACTAATTAATAAATATTGTTTGAAATAAACATTCATTCATTGCTACATTTGTTAAACTCTGTAATGTCAGAGTATATCACTGATGGCACAATTAACATCCTGGTTTCTCGCATGAGAAAGTCCTAGAAATCTTGAACTCCCCCTTCAAATTAATTTATTGTTAGAATTTTGATGCATTAACCTAATTTACTGCAAGTTATTGCCTTCTCTGATGTAGTTCTAGTGGTCGTTTCCCTGTGCAGTCTTTTGGCGTGTGATTTAATTTCACAAGGCCCTTTCTTCCTTATAAACAAAAAAGGCCATTATTGAACAATTATGCATGAGAGAAAACTCATAAAACCACTTGAAAACATTAAGCTGTTTAAATTTAAAATGGCTCCAGGCTCTGTCTTTTCCTTAAAAGCTGAAGCAAACCCAATAAAGCCACGTGTGGTGATTTATCAGACAACAAACAAACACATAAACAGCAAAATGCCTAAACGTAATTAATTCTCTGATCAAACAGCACAACAGAAACGGAGAAACAAAGATCTGTAAACCCCCCCGGTAGAAAGACGTGTGGGTAATTTTCCAGAATTGGCCCCGCTTTGCTTCGTCGGTCAAAAGGCGACATGAAGACACACTTCTCCAAAAACAAGCTCCCTCCCTCCCCTATCTGTTGACCACACAAAGGCGATCGATTCTTATTGATCCTCACAATGGCGTCACTCCATTAGCCTGCGCGGCTCACCGACCGGCGCTAACGCCTGTGAGTTTTACGAAAACACGCCCGACTGAGACAGGAACGGCTCTGCTTTCATACCACAGAAACACCGATGACGAGACGTGACAGTAACAGGGTTCAAGAAGGAAAAAAGAAAAAAAAAAAAAAACACATCTTCCTTTACCAAGTTAGTGCAAAGGTCGCTCACTGAAATCAAACATAAACGTCGGTGCTTTGAAGTCCTGGCGGTGGTGATGGTAAACGGTGAACTCAGAGCTTTTTTTTTTTTTTCTTCTTTCTCTTTTAACTTTGTGATTTTAGGAGCTTATTAGGAACGGGCTAAATGAAACATCTGGTGGAGTGATTTGAGACGGAGCTGCATTTTGATAGGATCATTAAGGCGGTTTTTCTTTCAGTAATGGAACTGGCTGGTGGGAAAAAACATTAAAGTTAAATCTGTGAAGAAGAAAAAAAAAATCCAACAGATTGTTCACATTTAAGCACAGTCAATTCCTTTTCTTTTTTTTTTTTTTGTTGTTGTTGTTTGTTTGCAGCAAACAATGCCTTTACTTGTTCACAGATGACTGAGATAAAGAGTTAGGAGGGTAGTTTTACATTTTCAAACGATCGCTCTGAACTCCTGAAATTTGGCCTCAAATTGATAACCAATCAGTTTTAAATGCCTGCACAACACAGGAGAACGATAGCTTTGCAGGCTGCTGGGAGGGACGTAAAATTAGACAAAGTCAAACAAATGTGAATCATACCGGCACGGTGCTTCAGTGACAATATTTTAATAATTCAGAAAGTGTTTTCTTTCAGGTGGTTGGGTTACTTCCCCTCAGTTGGAAGTGAAAGATTTTATTTTTCCAGATCACGTCGCCGTCTTAGCCGATGACTGGACTTAATATTTGACAGGCATTTTACCTAATTTAACAGATAGCTACATAAAAGTGAAAATTTTTCTTTGTATTCTTCCTCCCCACCCCCCCATCATACATCACATTACAAATACAGTTATTACTCTTTATTGAACTAAACCCAAAAGGTTCACCTGCCTAGATTAGATAAGGCTTTATGGAAAAGCTGCAAAGTGAAGGTGAATTTTCATTCAACTTGCGTGCAAAATAAAAGGTGAAAAATACAAAAAGATATGAAATGGTGGGGCTGAACTGAAACAAAAAAACAAAAACAAAAAACAAACAGAAAAGCAATTCAACGCCCCGCCATGAATGTTGTGTTTGATCAGCAGAGGGAACAATGGGTTTGCTTGCAGAGACACAATTAGACGAAAACAGAAGTTTTAAAGAAAGAATCCGAGACAGACTGGATGTTCGCTTAGAAAGAGGACAGAGACAAGCAGGCGAAAGCGTCTCTGTGTTGTTGAGCATTTTACGAGGCAGCAAGTCCAAAGTCCTCAGGTTCAGTGATCAGAGACTGGACACGTGCACTCAAGGCGCTGCATATGAAACGAAGAACTCCCTTTCGAATTTTTGCTCTTTTGGAGGAAGCTGAAACGTGAAGAACCCCTGCACAGTATCTCCACGTTACAAAGGCACACACTCACTCAGGCCGCTACAGCTAATCTTCTTACTAATCACAAGGCTGGACTGTTAAAACAGAACAAAGTTCACACTGACAACAGAGGGCGAGTGGCAGAGAGTCGAGAACAGTGGCAGATCTGATCAAATGGCAAAAGCAGAGGAAAAGATTATTCCTCAGAGCAAGAATGTCTTCTTTTGGGTTCTTTTTTTTCTTTTATTTTTTGCAAAATAAATAAATAAAAATAAATTGCTGTCACACTCTGACAGAGGTTGGACCTGGCAGGACACCAAAGGATCCTGAAAACTGTGAGTGCATTCCTTTGCTTTCCCGTTCCTACAAGACGAGAGTTGAGTTCTGGTACGGCACGAGCGTGCCCCGCAAGCGAACGAGGGCCTCGATTTCATTTCCTTCTCCATATCTTTTTACTGCCGTTGGCTTTTGTCACCAGACGTCGGCGGGCGAAAAACAGACTAATTTCATGGCAGTTTGCTTCAGGAACAAGAGTGTAATTTAAATTCAGTGCATAAGTGCACCCTCGGATGCAGGCTGTAATTTCACAGGTAGAAATTCGACCCAGAAATAGGTTCTGCTCCGCTTCAAGTCGCTCGAAATCATACCTGTGGGCGGCTATCGCAAATGAACGCAACTTTTTAAAAACTGTCGCCGTAAAAGTTCAGTGATTCGGTGTGGAAAAACACACACTTGTGGCTCTGTGCGTCAGGTGGTCCGCTATGACGTTTCCCACAATAACAGTTTGACATTTTTACTGTTAAGCTGGAAAGAGAGAAAATAATTTAAAATCAAATAATAGTTAACCGTGCCAGTCACGGGCTCAGAAAGCAGTTCTGATGCTGCTGTCTTCTTTCCAGTCTGTGTCTTTACATTTCAGGACATAGCAGGTGCTAAAATGATTAAAAACTACCCTTGAGTATTTAAAAAAAAAACACACAAAAAAAAACACACATAATGTCATTTAAAAGCTTTTAGGATCAACTCTGACAACAAGGCAGACTGATTTTCGTAGAAACAACTGTAATGGAAAGTGATTCTCTGAGGTTAAAAACTGACAAAAGAAAGTTCGACAACCTACAAAACCCAAACAGATAGGTAAACACAACAATTATTATATACTGGAGAAAAGCAAATGAATTTAGTGAGGAACTACCAGAAGTAAATATGAAAAACAAAGTATGGTTGTAAAAATCTGAACGCATAAATCCAAAACATATAAGTATCCAAACATCAATATAGTTTTTGTAAAATCTAAAATAACCAAAACTACGCACAATCGATGAAATTACTATACTTGCTAAAATGCTTAATTTAACAACCAAAAAATTGATGTCATATAAATCATAAGTTTCAATTAAAAACCAGACTGAATGGAAACGTCTTTATTTTGCTTTTTAGACGACATGTTTCATTGCTTGCGTGACCCAGCAGTGGACAAGCTTTAAAAGTTCAATGTCCGCCGAGTACCAAGGTGATGTGGCTGCGAGACTAGCCAAATCCGTTGACCTTCCCCCCGCCGGGCTGCCGCTGCGCAGCAAGCATGAAAGCGTTTGTGCCAATGTGCTGCGCAAATTCTGGCCAAACATTTCACCTGTGGTTTCATGTTCCCAAATGAGATCATCCTAAAAAAACCTGGTTTCATCTGGATGCAGAACTACAGAGCTACCAGTTGACTTTTTGCGATTTTCTTTTAGTCAGGAGAAGCACAGCTAGTCACAAAGTGTTCCAGTTTTTTTTTTTCTTTTCCTTTTTTAATAACGGTGCCGTCATTAAACGTTAACATTTAATGCACTTAATGAGACCTACAGAGTCTGAGATGAAAATTTTTGGGGGGAGTTCAGTAGTTTTTCCTGAAAAATCCGCAATCTGATTTTGTTGTTGCTTTTCCGGGACATGAAAGCTGCGAAGAATCTTCATTTACCTACCAGCCAAAGGTCTTATGGTAAATAACGCAGCAGATAAAACTTTATTCACGTAGTTACAAGAAACTCGGAGGACTTTTAAACGCTGCAGGTTTCGTTTACTTCATGAATGCAATGTTTTTCGAGCGGGGTTGAGGGCAGAAATTGCAGCATGTTGCGAGAGGGGTCCGTTACGAGCCGAGCCACGTTGTTTTATGTTAACCCAAACCAGGTGCTCTTCACGAATTCAGACAGCCTGCTTGCTGGGTCAGTGAGCCGCTCAACACATGCCAGTTAAATTAAGCTGTGGGTGTGACAGATGGGGCTGGAAATGAATGCAGAGCACGGGTATACAATTTATATCCAAGAACATGTAAAGTGTGAAAATGAGGGAGGGGGAAACGGAGGTGTGGAGAGGAAATGGAGACTAAAAACATAGCTATATGTTCAGCCTGTTGAATTCTAATTTTATTTCAGGCCCTTGGGCTAGATTAATAAAGTATCTTGTTAAAAATTGTGAAGTTGCATGTATCTTAATGTGAATATCATAAACACAGATTTTGCTGCAATGTCCGTTATGCCACATCAACCCCCTGATGTCCGCTCCTCTCTTCTAGAACAAGCATGGAGGTGCTGAGTGGCCCCTGGGCTGATCTGGCCCTCCTCCTGCAACAGACTGTCACGCTCACAAACAGAGACACAGACAGCTTTCTTCCTCTCTGGCTGTTTGGATTGTTGCTATTCCTGTCAGTCTGTCTGCTGCTGCTGCAACTAATCATCTACTTCAGCTGGAAACTCAGACAGGGTGGGCGCGATTTTAGGTCTTCGTGTCATGTCATCCGGATAACTTGCCCTTGTATTTAACATGAGCCGATCGCAACTGAGCAGACACCGCAGCAGGCTGCCTTCGGGCGCCGCGAAAACTTTCATTTTATCCCAGAATGAGGAGGAGCAGCCCAATTACGAGAATGTGCAGAAAGGTTTTCCTGTTTCCTAGCGTCATCCAAGCACACGGTGCTAACAGCAGGCCAGGGATTACTCATACCTCCAGATTTATTTGAGCTGCACATGACAACTCGTCGCCCGCGGCTACGAAGAAATATCTTTGGGTCCTGAGTAAGCTACGTCCAAAAAAAAATAAAATAAAATAAGTGAAAATGGCCAAAATTGGCTCCTGGGGGGATAAAAAAAAAAACCTGAATATCAGCACTGTGACATTTTTGGGATAAATCTAAATTTAACCACGAGGATACAGATAACTAAGATGGTTACACAACTGTGGTCCTATGGTGTTACACGTGTGTATCTAAAGCAAAAAGAGTGAAGTATAAGGGGGAGAGCGCGTGGCTGTCAGTTATGTTTAATATTCAGAAACATTTGTTTTCTTTCCTCTGTATGTGTTCTGGGACTTGGTCACAAATGCTGCTCTGCCGATTTAACCTGAGCCCCTTTGTTCTTTGCGTTGACATAAAGCACAAACAGATGCATTCAGTCGTTCACTTCAAATAAATAAAGTCGTGACTCTACTTTGGCCATCTGATCCGGCTGCTAATAGGTTTGAGGGAAACGTGCCCAGTTATATTAAAGCAATAGCTATGAAATCAAAAGCGAGGTGCGAGGGTGTTTTCGTCTCTTGTGTCGTTCTTTTGAAGATGTCCAGAGTAAACGAGCTTGAATCAGTTAATATGAAAATCTCGTCATCTGCTGTTTGTGCTTGGAGCAGATCTAATCAATTACAGCTGCTCAATCCCGCAGTTTACAGCCATTCACTGATAATCAGTTAAATACGGCTGTCATGTCCCATTTCACCATTAGCAAAACATCTACCCATCTGTGCTTCTAGAGCGAAAATCCTTTGGTGGTTCACTATGATTAAATTAGCTATTTTTACTACAGCTACAAAAAGTTTTTTTTTTTTGTGATCATTGCCTAATTTACCTATTTTACAAAGAAGTGCTAAGTTTTCATGGATATTCTTAAATACTTCTTTTCCGTTTAGTGTTGCAGTGCTCCCCCTCTTGAAGATATTTTATTTGTAAACTACATAATGATCCAATGCTAAGTACAGACTTAATAAACTAGAAGACGAGCTAACATGCGAGCTAACGCTAAACTAGCTTCAAAGCTAGAAGCTAGTAAAACAAATGTTTACGTCATAAAATGTGAAAAATTGAAAACAAAAAAACCCCCTTGTCTTTCTAAGTTAATTTCAGCAAAAAAAAACACTTACATTTAGTTTTATTGTAGCTTACGAACAAAATATAATTGTTTCCATTTACTGATAATATCTCTAAAGACACATTAGATGAGCTATTAGCTTAATGTGCTAAACAAAAAATCTTGGAATATTCCGATGTCTCATATACAGTTTTTACTG